TATATAACTTTAATTCAATTTTGCTTTAGCTTGTGAACCAAACACCTTATAATCACATTGGCCAAACACTTGAATCCACTTTACTTCGTTAACCCAAACTTAGGTTTTGCAATTTCATTTTGTCGGCTAACCCTAGATAAAGAGGTAGAGAGAAGAGATAATAGAGAGGTATAGTTCGTATGTGAAGACATCAATTTTGGTTGATACGTACACCGAATACGCTTGATCAAACAACATATCTGCAGATAGTTGAAGGTTCGAAGGGGAAACATTTGTTTGATTTGAAGCTGTTGAGAAAAAATTGCGATTTGGAGGTATGAACTTTGTCTTTCTAAAAATTGATTTTGGTTTTAGTTGATAGGGGGTTTCAGGTTTGGAAAAATGGGTCTCTTTTTTAGTGTTTCCTTGTTCGGTTGTTTTGGTTTGGGCTTTAGGGTTTGTTAAATTTATATCTGTAATTTAGGATCTTGATTTGGGGGTTTAGGGTTAGTTTTTGAGTTTCTTTGTTGGGTTTGTTGAATTGTTCGATTGTCTGTAAATTTAGGATCTTGATTTTTTTGCAATTTATCTATAAATTGTTCGATTTGGGGGTTTTATTTGAAAATGCATGAATTTGTTCAATTTATCTGTAATTTCTTTGTTTTAATTGGCCAGTGCCTTATTTATGCCATTTTTGTTTATATTTCTTGTTATTTGAATTATTGATAGTGATGGGAGATATTTATCATAATTTTCACATGCACTACAAGTCAAAATGTAGAACTGTTAATCATGTAGACCCTGATAAGTATGGTTTATATGATTTCCTGGATGACATAAGTAGAGCTGTTCTTGAGGATTATCCTGGGGGTTTGGGGCTTACCTATGCTATATACTATGATGTTCCTGGTTCTTATTCTAAGATGTTGGTTGAGAATGAAGCTGATTTGTTAGACATGTTATACTTAAATAGTGAAAGAATTAACATTAATATGTATGTTGAGATAGAAGAAGTCGAACCCTTAAATATATCAACTGATATGGATGACCCTTATGAGGATATGGATTATGGAGTGGATGCTAAAAATAGTGAGGGACTGAGTGAAGAATATGATGAGGAAGTGGGTGATGAAAATAATGAGGAAGAGGTGTTGACAGATTATACAATCCAAGAAGGGTTTCAAATTAGAAAGACCAAAAATGAGAGTTCAAGGGTAACTTATGTTTGCAAAGCCAAAGGTTGTCCATGGAGGATCCATGCTTCCCCACTGCCTTGTAAGACTTACATGATAAAAACATATAATGACAATCATTATTGTGTAAGGGGTGATAAAAATCCATTAGCCAATTCTACATGGATTGCAAAAAAGTTTTTTAAGAAACTCAAACAAAACCCACAAATGACAGTTGAAAGTCTGAGAACTTCACTGCATGAAAAATATGGCATTAGGGCAAAGAAACAATAATACTATAGGGCAAAAAGAAAGGCATTGGATGTGATTGAGGGTAACCATAGGAAGTCATACAGTTTGCTCCCCTCCTATAGGAATGAAATTAGGAGAACAAACCCTGGCAGTTTTGTCACACTTGATTATTATGATGCTGAATTTAATGGAGTTAATAGATTCAGAAAGATTTTCATTGCTTTTGATGCTTTAAGGTCTGGGTTTATAAAAGGCTGCAGGCCATTCATTGGGTTAGATGGCTGTTTTTTAAAGGGCCCACACGGTGGAGTGCTTTTGTCAGCTGTGGCCTTGGATGGCAATAATGGTTTATTCCCCATTACTTATGCTGTGGTAGAAAGTGAAGGAAATGAGACCTCGACTTTTTTCTTAGATAATTTGAAGGATATTCTTAATGCAGATGCACCAGCTAGACATTGGACAATTATGTCTGATATGCAAAAGGTATAATTTTTTTTCTTTAACTTGTTTATTATTATATAGTTCATTATTAAATTGTTCATTATTACTTGTAATTTATTTTATTTTGCATTTCAGGGTCTTGAGGTTGCAATTTCTAACTTGTTTCCTGAGGCAAGCCATAGGATATGTTGTAGGCACTTATTTAACAGTTTTAGGAAGGATAATCCTGGCTTGTTGTTGAATTTTTTTTATTAGAAGGCTGCTAGATCATGCAATGAATTTAAATTTAATGATGCAATGAATCACATGAATGAGATTTCTACAGAAGCTCATGATTGGCTAATGGACAGGTCTTTGGAAATATGGTCTAGGGTGAGGTATAGTGAGACATCAAAGAGTGACCATATCACAAACAATTTGACTGAATCCTTCAACAATTAGGTTGGTCATTATAGGTGTAAGTCAATCTTGAATATGCTTGAGTGGATTAGGATAAAATTAACGGTGAGAATTCAGAAAAGGTATCAAAAAGTTTTAGCTTGGAAGGGAAATTTGACACCAAATGCCTTGAAAAAATTAAACAAATTCATTCAAAAATCAAGAGGGTGTAGAGTTTGTCCTGCTGGGAGGGAGGAGTTTGAAGTTCATGAAGTAGTGAGAGTAAGTGTGGTTAATTTAAACTTGAGGACTTGCTCATGTAGAGCATGGCAGATATCAGGGATACCTTGTAGGCATGCAGCTGGTGCTATTTCATGGAATAGGCGAGATCCTGAGCATTTTTGTGATCCTTGTTACACCAAGGACACATACCTACTTGCCCATAGTGAGATGATTCATCCTTTGATGGATGAGAAGTTGTGGCCAAAAACTCCATCAATTAACTTGTACCCTCCTAAACCAAGAAGATTACCTAATAGACCAAGAAAAAATAGAAGAAGGGAACAAGGTGAACCTGCCCCTGCAAGTGCAATACTTAAGAGATCATCAGTTATAACATGCAAGTATTGCCTACAAAGTGGTCATAATAGGAGGACTTGCCCGAGAGCTCAAACAGCAAGAAAAAGAGCTGCAGCAGCAAGAGGGAGAGCTGCAAGTGCAAGAGGAAGAGCTCAAACAGCAACAGTGAGTGTTTCAATCAATTTTAAACTTGCTATGTTTTCAAAATTTTCTTTTATTACTGATTTATATACCTTTTAATTGTTAATTTAGGGAAACATAAGTTCTCAAATCAGAAGGAGCAGGAACTTCTGGTGTTACACAACAAGTATAAGTCCTTATTTATGTTCACTAGAACAAATTTTCAATTCTATGATTACTCAATACTGTACTTAACTAATTTTTTTTGTTTAAATTTTTTCCAGTCCCAAACTGCTAGGAGAGGTGGAAGAAATAGAAGTGCAAGAGGTGGAAGAAATGTACGTGCAAGATGAACTTTTCAACCAAATGTGAGTGGCATTGGTGGTGGTTCTCAACAAAATGTGAGTGGTATAGGTGGTGCTTCTCAACCAACTGTGATTGGCATGGGTGGTGCTTCTCAACCAATTGTGATTGGCAAGGGTGGTGCTTGTCAACCAATTGTGATTGGCATGGGTATTACTTCTCAGCCAAATATGAATATGAGAAGTTGTTCATAACCAATTCAGAGTGGAAGCAAAGTTGGAAGACAGCCAAACCAGAGTGGCAGCAGAGGTGGAAGACAACCAAGTCAGAATAGTATTGGGGTTAATCCTCCACCATGTGTAAGCAATAAATTACCTAATATTTATCCTTATACATATTAATTTATTGTTGTATTACTATTCTAATCCTGACATTCAACTACAGAGAGGGTAGCAAAAGAAGTACCAAGGAAAGAATCAAAGACTGCTAGCAGTTGGGGACTCCTTTGGGTTTTATTCACCACACAACAGTGAGTTGGTTTTTGATGTTTTTGATTCCAATGTTCTAATGGTTTTAGGATTTCTGTATTAAATATTGACCTGCTTTGTTTGAAACTTGAAACTTGTAAGTTGTGGGTGACATTGGTTAAATATTAACCAATTCAGAATGTTCTAATGGTTTTAGGATCTCAGTAATAGTGATGTTTGCTTTGTGGTTGTAATGCATGTGCAGTGGTAATAAATTAATGATACTTTCTATGGTAAATGTACTCAATATAGGTCAATATTTATTGTATCATTTTATTTGAAATAAATAGCAAAATCAGATAACCAGAAGCAAACAAATACAAAATAGCTGTTTCAACAACTTGTAACCTTGAATTCATAACTTGTCTCTGCAACCTCAATTAAGCAACAACCTCAAGCAGAAGTTGATTTGCAGGTGAATACTCCTCAGCAGCACCAACATTAGTAATAACAGCAACAATAGAACCATCTATAGGGTTACACCATTCCCAAAAACTACATGTTTGATTTTCACAAGTATAATACAACCTTCCTTTGTTGTGATTTTTGTCATTATCTGTAACCTTCACTATAGTAAAATCCCCATAATGACAAATCTTGTTCATATACTGTATATAGCCTCTGCCGCCTCTGCCTCTACCTCTACCTTCACGACTATTTACGCTTGATTGAGACATCATTATAAATAAGAGAATATAAGAAAGGAAGAGATGAAGTGCCAAACATTGTGCCCAGTTATCTCCTATTTATAGAAGCCAAACATGACCGTTGGAGAGTTGAGGGGCAATTTGGACATTAACATGGACTTCATGGGCAATTTGGACATTTAAGTTGCTTTATAACTTGAAGCCAAACATAACCGTTAATGTTTGTAGCCAAATAAAACCGTTTAGGGGCAATCTGGGCATTAAAAGCTCCTTTTTTGCTAATGTAGGCAAATAGTAACTCTGACCAGCTTTGACTGTTAACTGAAGGGGGTGACGGATGTGTGTAAGAAAAAATAAAGGATCTGACTGAATTTTTGCAAATGTGGAAGGATCTCCTTAAAATTAGGGCATATCTTAGAGGTGGAAGAATCTCCTTAAAGTTAGGACATACCTTAGAGGTGTAAGTCATTCATTGAGCATATGCCCCAAAGTTGAGGTTAAAGTAATAAACTCAAGAGTGTAATTTCCCTATTATTAAATTAACTATCTATAATTATATACGGAGTATATAACTATATATACATATTCATACAGTTGGTAGATTCTCTGTGGACCTCACAAATATCTATCTCGGTTTCCAAGGTTCATCGTCATCTTCCTCTTGGGAATTGAAATCAAAACAAACGCCATGGAAAAATCAGGGTATGGCCGGGACGGAATATTCAGATCTCTGAGGCCTCCTCTTGTCCTCCCCAGAGACCCCAATCTCTCTATGGTCTCATTCCTCTTCCGAAACTCCTCTTCTTTCCCGGAAAAACCCGCCCTCATCGACGCTGACACCGGTGAAACCTTAACCTTTACCCAGTTCAAATCCACGGTTTCTAAGGTCTCTCACGGATTACTCCAACTGGGTATCAAGAAAAACGACGTTGTACTCATTTTCGCCCCCAATTCAATCCGATTCCCCATCTGTTTCTTGGGAATTATTGCTATCGGTGCCATTGCAACCACCGTGAACCCAATATATACAGTTTCAGAGCTTTCCAAACAAATCAAAGATTGCAATCCAAAGCTGGTTATAACTGTTGCTGACTTATGGGAAAAGCTTAAAGGGTTCGGTATACCAGCTGTGATCTTAGATTCTGAACCATCTCCAAAGCTCAAGTACTCAACAAATTCAAGACTTATATCTTTTACCGGGTTAATTAGGAATGTTGGGTCGGTGTCCAATTTTCCTGAAGCTTCCATCAAACAATCTGACACAGCTGCTCTGTTGTACTCATCAGGCACCACTGGTACTAGTAAGGGTGTGGTATTGAGCCATCGTAATTTTATTGCAGCAGCTCTATTGGTGACTGCTGATCAAGAGCTGGCGGGCGAGATGCATAATGTGTTCCTGTGTGTTATTCCCATGTTTCACGTGTTTGGACTTTCGGTTATATTGTATTCGCAGCTGCAAAGGGGCAATGCAGTTGTGTCAATGGCAAAGTTCGATCTTGAGATGATTTTGAGATCTATTGAGAAGTACAGGGTGACTCATTTCTGGGTTGTGCCCCCAATCATACTTGCTTTGGCTAAGCAGACGAGTGTAGTAAAGAAGTACGATTTGTCGTCGTTGAGGCAAATTGGCTCAGGTGCAGCACCTTTGGGTAAAGATTTGATGGAGGAGTGCGCAAAGAATTTCCCTCAGGCTGTGGTCTGTCAGGTACTTCTATGGAAACTCAAAACACTACATGTGGTCCAATTCAAGCATGAAAATGTGAAATGCTAATTATAATGTATATAATGCGGCATAGAGGCAAAATCCTTATCATGTCAGGTATTTATGAGGCAAAAACCTTGGGCCTCTGAGGCTTGCCTTTTGTTTTAGATGTGTTCCTTGTATGTGAAATAAGTATACACGATACCCATAACAAAGTAGTCAACTTATTTGAACTTAGAGAACCCTCTACCCTTTAGTTTGCATTACTGAAAGAATAAAAATTTGAGGAGAAGTATAATGTATCTTGCCTCCTTTGGGAATGACTTATACAACTCCAAAAAAATGCTTATGTAGGTGTGGAATATACTTTGATCTGACCTCTTGCATTCACATGCACCACAACACGGCCATTTGAAAACGTCACTTGTAATTACTATATCCTAACCTGCTTGGGAATCATAGTACTCATGAAGATTGGTTTATTTTTTCCCATGAAAAGAAAAGTGCATTACTTCCAAATTTGGGTGAGTGCGGTATTTACTTTTTTCAAGAACAGTTGAATTATTGCATACATGCATGGAACTCCTGGTGTCAATGGCGTTTGACATCATGGTATAATGAAATTGACTGCGTATAAGTTTCAATTTTGGTGAGTCATAGTCAATCATCAATGGCATGTTATGTTGCAGTGATGTGAATAGTAGATTTTGTAAGCCTTCAGATAGGCAATAGACCATTTACAAGCCTTGGGCGCAATTCATGAAAAGTGGGAATTTGTCTTCACATTTACAAAGCACTTTTGTGATTTCAGGGCTTTGGTATGACGGAGACTTGTGGAATTGTGTCAGTGGAAAATATGAATATTGGTCCTAGACATTCTGGTTCAACAGGAACAATTGTTCCAGGAGTGGAGTCCCAAATAGTTAGTGTAGATACACTGAAGCCTCTTCCACCAAATCAGTTGGGGGAAATATGGGTTCGCGGGCCCAACATGATGCAAGGTTGGTTTTTGTTTAATTGTTTTACTGTTGATAATCTTATATGGGTCCTAAGAGTGTGAACCTTTATACACTTTAAATGTGAATTTTGATGCACTTTAAAGTGAATTTCTATGACCTTTCGCTTTCATACTAAGTGAATTTCAGGTAGCACATTAATGACTGATATGACCTTATACTACACATGGCATTTGATAACAATAAAGTAGTTAATGGATAGTCTGTGTCAGTGATCTTTTCACATGCTCAAATTTATACATTACGAACTTAGTGGTCAAGATAAGGATAGTAATACTACCCTAAGACTTTTTAGACTTTAATTGACAAATCCGCACTTGTTATTTATTCTTTCTTGAAATAATTAATAGTTGGGTTATAGGATTTCGGCTTAGTTATGCTGATCAGATGCGTTGCTGATTTTGAAGTCATGATCATCGAAATCACCTTCTTGAAATAGCCATTATTGAAGTTGCTTTCTTGATGAAACTCTTATTGGAGTCACCTTCTTGAGAAAGCATTCTATCTTTTCTTTGAGGTCTGTGCATGGTTATCCTTTTGCACATGATCACCAACAGGCCCCCTAATTATATATATTATGATAACTTTTTCCCCACAGATAAGCCATGGAGTTGACTTATATATATATATATATTGCAAGGCATTCTTCCCTACAAACAAGCCTCGTCCTTAATGGATGTCTCCTAAAACTTTGAAGACCATAGAAGGCATTATGATAAGACATCATATATAACTTGAGTTAGGAGCAAAACTCAAGGGGGCGTAAATTGCTTGATGCTTGTGCACATGGAGGCATCTCCTGGGCTTATTAGAGTAGACCACCGTGCCGACATGAGCACTGTCTTGTTTTTCCTTGACTGTAAATACCGTCCCTAATAGTTAATGGTAGAAGGTACAGACTTGAACCTGCCAATACTTTACTTTGAGAAACATTGCGCTCAACATGAAACCCACATAAGTAAATTTCTTTGATTCTTTTGACGAACTCTTAGATATTATAGGCATCAATACACCTTGACGATCAAGCCATTTTATTACCCAGTTGGACTAGTGAATATAGACCTTTAAAGAAGAATGCACAAATCCAAGCTGTGCAGCCTTCAAAAATCTGAACAAGGCTTGCTCGAAATGCAGTTACCCATCATTGATGCACTGGTAGATGCAACGTCATGACATCAAATGTTATGATTTATGGACGATTGCAACTGCTATAATCAAATAAAAAAGGCAGCATAAGATGTAGTGATATTTATAATGTTTTCTTCTCTACATCTTATTTTTTATTTTTATGAATTGTCTTAATTATCAAAAAAAGAAAAGAAAAGATGTAGAGAAGAAAACATTATAAATGTCACTTGAAAAATTTCTATTATATTGTAACGCATTTTGGTCTCATGAACACAGGAGCAACATACCAACACACCATGATGTGATTTACCATGGAGCATTCCATCAATACCTCAGCGACTATGTGGTTGACCTCGTGGTAAAATCTTGTGAAGGAAATACTCATATTGCCAACCTTAGGGAAGTGTTTTGATAGATGTTGTAGTTTAAATACAATATTGATTTTGATTTAGGTTTTGGACGATTAGGGTTTGAAGAAGAGAACGAATGAATGACAAAGAATGTATGAAGAGTTGTAGAATGTTTTTGACATCTCTTCACTTAAATATTTATATTAATGATAAGCAAGAATTACAATAATACCACGCGTTACAAGAATATTCCCGCACAATGCGTCACTCTCTCTCAAGTTGGTGTATAGATATCTCTCATACCCAACTTGCCTACAATAGAATGGAAGAAATTACTATTCAAACCCTTAGTGAACATATCGGCTAGTTGTTCCTTTGACTTCGCTAAGGGCATGCTCAATATTTAACTTCTCCTTGATAAAGTGTCTGTTAATCTCAGTAAGCTTTGTTCTATCATGTTAGACTGGATTATGCGCAATGCTAATGGCAGCTTTGTTATCACAACTAGTCTTATAGGTTTGTTATCTAGAATACCTAAATCACATATCAAGGTCTAATTCCTGAATATAAATATTCTCTCTTCTAAAAGGAACTCACAAACTCGACGTCCCTATCAGACACAATGGAAGTTGGTAATCCATGCAGCCTAATAATTTCCCTAAAGAAAAAATTAGCCACATGCGAGGCATCCATTGTCTTGCTACAAGGAATAAAATGGGCCATCTTAGAAACCCTATCTAAAACAACTAGAATAGAATCATGTCATCTAGTAATCTTGGGCAACCCTAGGACAAAGTCCATGCTAAGAACTTTCCACGGTGTGTGCGGGACTGGCAAAGGGGTGTAGAATCCCGTGTTCCTCTTCCTAGATTTTTATAACTGACCCAAAGAACTCTAGCAACATCATCTTTTAAAGATACCCAATAAAATTTGTCCTCTACTAGAGAAACTGTCTTATCTATTCCAAAATGACCAACAATTCCTCCAGAATGTACTTCTCAAACTAAGAATTCTATAATTAATGTGCGAGGAATGCATAGCTTAGAGCCTTAGAAAAAGTAACCTTCTCTAATCATAAAGTCGACATAATCACTATGTTTACCATTTTGAACCTCTTAAAGTATCTCACCAAAATCAGTACAAGTGGAACACTCATCCTTCATTCTTTAAAAGCCTACAACACTAACACTCATAGCTTGAAGAAAAACTACTATTCACCTGAGAGCGTCGACTGGCTTATTTTTTTTGACCCATTGCGGTGATTGAGCACAAAAGTATACTCTTGCATAAAAGCGACCCATTTTGCATGTTTAGCACTCAATTTTCTTTAAGTTGAAGTTACCTCAAGGTCCTAAAGGCTTGGTGATGAGGCCTGTGGCTTGGGGTTCGGGCTGTGTGGCTAGGGTTTTGGTTGGCTTGGGTTTTGCTACAAGGGGTTAAGTGTTTGTTTGGGGACTACTAGGGTTTAGGCTTCGTGGGAACAACTAGGATTTAGGGTCTTGTGGATGAAAAATGAAGGTTGTGGGTGGATTGTTGAAGAACAATACGTATGGGTTTAACTTGGATTTGCTCTGATACCAAAACCGATGCAGGACGAGTGAGGAGTGCTTCGATTCCAAAATTGATGTTGGAGAGAGAGAATGAGAGAGAAGAGAAGAGAGAAGAGGTAGGAGAAAGAGGAGGGAGAAAATCACTATAATCAACCAACAGGCCAGTGGCCTAACGGTATCGGCCTCTAACTTCCCAAAGGGAGGTCAGGGGATCAAGTCTCAGAAGAGACGTGTGTGTGAGTATCAACTAGGAAAAAAAGAAAATCACTTATATATAAGAGCAACAATAGAATCCTAATAAAATTCTAATACCAAAAATCAAACCCTAAATAAATAAGGAGGGTAAAATTTTAAAATAAAATAAATCCTAAATTCTCCTCTACGTTTATGCCTATAGTATTTGCGTAGACCACACGGCTCATGAGAATCTCCATCACTCTCCCTCGACCATAATGGCACCTCAACCTAATGTGCCTTTGCTCATTTGAGCCTTGTTGGCTCTACGAGGTTGAATCGGAAGAGCATATCTATTCCATAAGATGGTTGTGCGAGATGTGAAACTCACACACATAAACATTGGCTTGCTTTGGCCTTTGCCACGCAAAAGTTCTAGACACTATGACCTTGTGTGTACTGTTCATTTCTTAGTCATGTATGATCCATTAAATTATCTGTCAAGACTGGCTCTTTCAGAATGAATAGCTCGGTGGTTACTTCTTGTAGTGGAATTTAGAATTACATGTCTTGCACTATAAGTTTTTGGAAAGTCAAGTGCTCATGGATCTATTTGCTCATTTTGTGGTGAAGAACTACCAAGGGAAGTATTTCAGGTGATGTCTGCTACAGATAGCAGTGGTGAATAGATCCTCTCATTTAAGTATCATCTACCCTTTTTTTATTTTTATTATTTTTTTGTATCAATAAATTTTCCACCATTTAGGAAAAAAAGAAGATAATGTGAAAATCAAAGTTACTATTCTTCTCTCTATGCTCATAGATGATTTCACTCATTGGGTTTCCATCCACAATGTAGATGTGTTTTTAAAGGACATAACGACCAAGATAAGGATACTGAGAATAGCACAGTTTTCCTTTTGCTTTTGGGCTGGATCTATGCCCTGAGGTTGCTCTACGTGAACGATTAGGATTAACTATACATTTTCTTAAGATCTTTCTGCGTTTACTATTTTGTGATGCATTACAAATACTACATCCATTAGCAAAGAAAGTTTTACAACTGGCACTCCATGTAGTGTATTGAAATCTTCTGAGGATGCGCTATAGGATCCTCATGTTAGGAATCAGGAGAGGAAGAAGAAGCCACCTAAATATAGTAAAGTGCAACAATTCTTAAGGAAGCATTCAGTTTCTTCTCGCGCGACTGGCTGCTGACCTCACGATTCTCCATATGCACATTATGTCGAGTGAGTGTCCCCAATTGCATATGCTATGAGGACTTCTTCCCCACCAATATGCATTGTTAATGGCATTTATTTTGCAATGATTTATTTTCCACAACGTCTATTCCTTGATAACTATTTCCTGAAAAGTACAAAATACATCTCAATGTAGTTCGTACACAATCTGAGTTTGGAGCAGCATTCAAGGACGTATTTATCACATTTACAAACGAAACAATCATCTTACTGACTTTTTTGTAGATAAGCTTACTTTCTTTAAATGACTTCTTGCGCTTGCACGTAGCCTTGTTACGCTGTTTGAATAGCCGGCGCTACTATCTTCACTTGCTTGATGTGTGACTGGTTTGTCATAGCCCATATTAAAAGAAGTGGTCATGAGGCTAGATGAAGGGGATGAGAAGACAGACAAAGGGAGATAAAGAGACAGAGGGATTGAGAAGAGCAAGAATGAGAGAGGAAGAACAGAGGGATTTTCTAAAAATCACTGTATAGTTCAATAATGAAATTCTGAATAGTTTGGTTAGACGAGCCTTTTA